CTCCTGTCGCCCTTAAAAAATCTTAAACGTCGCTGGGATGCCATTTTGATTAACTGTTAAAAGAAGCAGAATGCACACACATTCCTAAAAATAAACAATCTTTATTGCCGTATATGGTTCCATGAAGAACCTTTAACAACTATGGAACCTTTCCATTATACAAAAGGTTCTTTATAGTGGAAACATGTTTTTCACACTAAGAACAAAATGGTTCTCTTTAGGAAGTTGAATCACAAAAACAGCTGCTCACAATCATTTCAATTTTTTATGTCAATCACTGCACTGATAAAAACGGTTATGTGCTGAAGTAAATACTATGGAAAAACACATATTCTACATTAAATAATTTAGGTCAGGCAAGAATAAAAAAAAGTAAATTCCATATCAGTACTCAATCAAGCAAGTAGAAATTAAAGTGTGAGCATATAAGTATATTTTACTTGGAATTGTTTATGTTTACAAGGATTTTTTGAGTAGGCCTAAATATCAAAGTTATGATACTGTGTGCATGCATACATACATTAATAATTAATAAGGTTGAATTTTTTTTTTGTATTTACACTGTTTTATGGTTGCTTTTGTTGTTAGGTTTAGTAACAGTTTTGTGACATCTGTGGTTCATTTTCTTCTCAAAATGACCCTTTACACTCAAACACTGATTGTTACCGTCATTGTGCATTGTGTACCAAGTACTGAGGTCTCTGTGTATTATATTGTGTAGACATATTATCTTAGAAAGTGTAACAAGCTGTCTATTGCCTTGTTTACTTAAATGTTTCTAAGTGAACCATATGCTTTAATAGTATGGCTTTTTTCAGTGCTACATTGTTAGAGTAAAGTTTACAAACAATGATTTAGTAAAATGCACTTGAGTATTGCAGTAAACGTCAAGTGATTAAGTAGAAATTACTCAACAAACTTACCAAGTTGATTTTACTTATTCTCTTTTAATTTTACATATTTAATTTTACAAACTTAGTTAAGTAGATTTGACTTAATTATATACTTAAATTTACTTTAAAAATATGTGTGCAAAAACTTGCAAAATAAAAATTAAGTAAATGTAACTTTTTTTTTCAGTGTAGCAGTAAAATTGTTTTAGCAGCCACGCCTTCATTTTCTATTATTTAATTCTGCCCATGTGTTTATAGCTGATCAAATACCACATATGGCTTGAATACTTCACATCTTTGCCCTTATGCTGCTTTAGGACAATCAGAGAGACATAAAAACTCATTTAAATCATTTTGGCAAAACTCTTAATGTTTAGAGCAGAAACTCGATTTAAAGTATTGGATATTTTCTGAATGTCCTGAAAAGATGACTTATTATGTTGAATTATGTATGCTAAGTGTTTTTATGTACAGAAATGTCTGGGTGTGATATAGAAAGAGAGAGTTTGTCTCTCTTAGGTAAATTTTGGACTTGTCCTTGGGGATAAAGAGACACCAGCAACCTCAAAAACGGCTTTATATAGACACTTACTTAAATACATATGCACATTCACTTAAGTGGTTCTTTACGGTCTGTCCGCTAGAGTTTGTAATGCAAAAGTTAATCTGACATATCAATCAAAAAGCCTTTTTTTTCCACTTGTATCACTGAGCACAAAACAGACACAGACTTTAATTTGCGGTTTAATTTAATTTAACATGTGTGGATTAATTCATGTAGGGTATACAATCTTGATTCTGGTGACAAACTAAGGTTCAAATAAATCTACCCATAAATATTCAAAGAAAATATTAAAGGAGTGTTCCAGGAACAGTCAAGCTCAATCATCAGTGTTTGTGGAATAATGTTGATTAACACAAAGCATCATTTAGACCTGTCCCTTGTAAAAAAAAAAAAGATGTTATAGTGAGGCACCACATACAATGGAAATGAATGGGGCCAGTTTTCTTAAAAGCAGAAATGTGAAGCTTAGAGTTTTATAAAGTGCTTAATTCTGTTAAAACTTGTTGTTCTTGTTTTTTTTTTTTATTCTCTTTTAATTTTACATATTTAATTTTACAAACTTAGTTAAGTAGATTTGACTTAATTATATACTTAAATTTACTTTAAAAATATGTGCAAAAACTTGCAAAATAAAAATTAAGTAAATGTAACTTTTTTTTTCAGTGTAGCAGTAAAATTGTTTTAGCAGCCACGCCTTCATTTTCTATTATTTAATTCTGCCCATGTGTTTATAGCTGATCAAATACCACATATGGCTTGAATACTTCACATCTTTGCCCTTATGCTGCTTTAGGACAATCAGAGAGACATAAAAACTCATTTAAATCATTTTGGCAAAACTCTTAATGTTTAGAGCAGAAACTCGATTTAAAGTATTGGATATTTTCTGAATGTCCTGAAAAGATGACTTATTATGTTGAATTATGTATGCTAAGTGTTTTTATGTACAGAAATGTCTGGGTGTGATATAGAAAGAGAGAGTTTGTCTCTCTTAGGTAAATTTTGGACTTGTCCTTGGGGATAAAGAGACACCAGCAACCTCAAAAACGGCTTTATATAGACACTTACTTAAATACATATGTACATTCACTTAAGTGGTTCTTTACGGTCTGTCCGCTAGAGTTTGTAATGCAAAAGTTAATCTGACATATCAATCAAAAAGCCTTTTTTTTCCACTTGTATCACTGAGCACAAAACAGACACAGACTTTAATTTGCGGTTTAATTTAATTTAACATGTGTGGATTAATTCATGTAGGGTATACAATCTTGATTCTGGTGACAAACTAAGGTTCAAATAAATCTACCCATAAATATTCAAAGAAAATATTAAAGGAGTGTTCCAGGAACAGTCAAGCTCAATCATCAGTGTTTGTGGAATAATGTTGATTAACACAAAGCATCATTTAGACCTGTCCCTTGTAAAAAAAAAAAAGATGTTATAGTGAGGCACCACATACAATGGAAATGAATGGGGCCAGTTTTCTTAAAAGCAGAAATGTGAAGCTTAGAGTTTTATAAAGTGCTTAATTCTGTTAAAACTTGTTGTTCTTGTTTTTTTTTTTACGATCATTTTAGAGTTTTTAGGCATTATGTTGTCATGGAATCAAGGTTGTAAAATTGGACACAATTTTACTTAGCATTTTTTATTTATTAAAAAAATCATGCATATTCTTAATTTCGGCATGTTTGAAACAGTAAGTATTAACATTTACGGATTTGCTCTTTCACTTCCATTGTAAGTGCCTCACCGTAACCCAGATTTGTTTTATTTTTTTTAAATAATTTTTGTGATAATCAATATCATGCCACATGTCAATTGAGTTTAACTTGTACTGAACCTGGAATATTCTTTTAACATAATATTAGCAGGTCTCCATAACCTTCAAAACTATGTCAAATAAATGTAAGAATTTTTTTTTTTAAATCAGAGTAAATGGGCTGTACTTTGCCGAAATGTTCTGAGTATAGTTACTAAGCAACAGGTGCTGTGCACACACACACGCACACATTCAAGCGGATGTGATAGAGCAAAAGAAATAGAAAAAAATGAAAAAGCCAGGGATGGGTAGAATCCCAGAATCGCAGTTCCTATAAACAAACAAAATGCGATGATGAGATATAACTAAAACTAGCTCAGTCTCCACTGATAAACAACACAACTGAGCACTTTCCCTTCATTTTAGCAATCTCCGGCCAAACCAAAACAAAACAAAACTGAACAGCCCTCTCAACTCCCGCCCCTCACTCAGCTCCTCCCACAGCTGCTCACCAGTTAATTCTGAATAAAGACACTCATTCTGAATAACCTCAAACTCTTCACTGCAGCATTACTCGTCCAATTCAGACACCGTTTACGACAATACAGCACTGCAAATGCAATATTTTACTGCACTGCTTAAATATGTGGAAGGCTTGCGGGTTATGTAAAGTGCTTCTCTAAACTCTCGCTTCTTAATAGGGCAAAGTTCATGCCAGGAAATCATTCTTCTTGTAACATATATTAAATAAATGAGACTTTGTATGTTACAGTGTTATTCATTTTGATACAACTGACAACAGGGATTAATAATGAATATTCTCACTGAGGACCACTAATATCTTCTGAGCTTTGCTGCAAAGAAAATAATAAAGATCACAGTTAGTTACAGTGATTAAATGGATATTAGGAACTATCCTTTGCACTCACAAAAGATAAGATAAAAAAATAACACTACTACTTGTAGTAGTACTCACAGTAATGGCCTTTTGAACAAACTGGTCCTCATGGCTGGATGTGAATGAGAAGACACCTCAGGACCTGACTGTTCAGTAAGATGTAATTATTGTCTTGATGTTTTCATATCTTCAAGCTTTAATTAATTACTTAGAGTGGTGCCTTGCCTTTATCAAAGCAACAACAGTCCAAAAAAAAAAGAGTGTGATTTCATTGATTTATTTATGCAGAGCTTATTTATCCAACACATTCTGACTCTTTCTCATTTCCTTTTACTGTTGTACTGTCATATTTTCCATACTTCAAATTCTCATCTCAATGCAAATATTCACATTCTCCCTGATGAGGGGGCATTTGAAATGTTTACAAACCTGACCTTACATTAATTTGATCTTAAATTCTATAATTTAATAAAATAGTCCATTAAATTACACATATAAAAAACATGTAATTTCATATTTAATTTAATTGATATTAAATGCCCAGACAGGAACATTTATTCTCCCATTTTTTTAAAATAGCCATTTATTTTGCTCTTCAAATGGCTCAGTCCCGTTGTAGATTTAATGTGTGCTCAATAATAAATGTTATGAGAAACATTTCCACAGGCCCAGAGCTCCTATAAAGTGCGTACCATGCAGACTCTCACTGGGGCTCATTGATTTTATTGTATTTTTCACCTTTTTTTTTAAACCTATGATATACATCAGTGCTATGTTTTACAAAGTGAAAGTGAGTTGTGAACTCCTGCTGGTATTTGCAGCGTGTTCTTATTTACCCGTTTTACTGGCGCCGTTCCTGTGGCTGTATTATTTAGTCCTGACAGTTAAAGTGCTCAAGGACTTTCCTGAGCGAACTCTCCGTAAAATAACTGCTTACCCCGGCAAAACACCGTGACACAGCAAGCTCTCCCTGCATTAGGATACCTTGACTGAGCCCAGGAAAGTACCTGACACGAGAGAAAAGGGCTGTAATTGTACTTAAAATAGGAAAGTGTGGGTTGTTAAGAAGTGCCCAGGGTACTGTAGCAACCGCTGCCATGGCTCGGACTGATCATTGAAAACAGACAGCGCAAATCTTATCGCGTTCTCAAGGTAGACGGAAAACAACTCGAGCGGCGGAGAGAAATCCCCATCCCCGTTCGGGTTCACTTTAATCCGTTCATTTTCGGAAAACTTCTTGTTGACGTTTAAGAGCCGCCTATGCGTCTCCGGCTGAGCTCTCGTTTGATTATTATTTGCTTACACGGTCTCACGCTGCGCAGCTCTTTCATGTCTGTCTGACAACTTTTTCAAGGATTTCGTCGATGAACTTGTTGCGGTGAGTCCCCTTGAAACCCTCACGGCCAGTGTTGTACTCTGTTTCTAGACTATGGAGGTTCCGGTCGGGCTGGGGGAGGCTTGCGAGTCCCCAGACGCCGGTTTTCACGGACCTTACCAAAGCGTTTTTCAAAACGTGCGCGTCGCGAGAGCGAGCAACCACGAGAGTTTGGACTTTTCTAGCTCCAAGAAGTGCGGCTGCCTGCAGGAGACCGCGTCGAGGGAAATGCGTTTAAGCAAGCTGTCCCCCGGCAGAGGAATAATATGCTGCCCCGAGAAAGAGTGCGAGAGTGCGAGTTTAGTGATGCAGGCGGCGGCGAGCCGTATTCATTTTCTCAAGAGTTCCACTGGGAGCAAAAGCGACTCGTCTCTGTCCTCTAGCGGG